AAATAAGTATTTATATTTGTGTACAAGCTGTTTAGATTGTCAAAAAGCCTGTGTTTTTAGGGTTATTAATGAAGTTCATGTACTCAGACCAGTAATATTTGGGGTCACATGTTTTGCCATGAATATTTTGTGGGTCAGAAGATAAAAAGTTTGGGAACCACTGATCTATGGTGTGGCCCGTGGCCAAATGAAAATCTTTGAGGGCTGCGGCCAAATGCAATAATATAATTCATGAAATACAAATGCTTCTTAAGTACAGTCCTTTTATTTTAATGATTATGTCCTGCTGGAGATTTGTTTGTGTACAAACTAATACGGTATCAGAATCTTATATATTTACACTTCTCATTCAATTCCCTCTGTCTAGGAGGCACAATTTATATGGATAAAATTAAGTAATTTTTACATTAAGCTGGTATGAAAACAAGCAAAAATGAAATAAAAGTGATGACTTTCCACTTCTTGCCTTTTTTTTAAAAAAAAAGGTAAAAAGTACAGATAATTGTGTGAAAATGTAAGAAGTAAAAGTAAAAAGTAGGCTGAAAAATAATTTCTCAAGTAAAGTACTGATACTCAAAATTTCTACTTAAGTACAATAACAAAGTATTTGTCCTTAGTTACTTTACAACTCTGATCCCATTGTCATTGAGTTTTTTTTTCTCCCTATTTCGGTTTTTTTTCAACCAGTAGTTCCAACCTTTGGCCACGAGATGTCGCTCTTAACCGAGTTTCAGCCGAAGCGCGAGCTCGGCTGCTAACGCCAGTCTGCAGCGCGTTCACGACACGAACACTAAACTTCCAACTGCACGAGTGGAGAAGTTTCAAGAGCGAAACTTTTAGCTTTTCCAACATAAAACTGACGCGGGCCGCAAAGACACAGCCACTATGGACGATTTGGGTAAGTCGTGGCGTTATTTTCCAGGCGCTCGGTGTTGTTTTAAACCCAGGGAAGAGTGCAGAGCCGAGGGGCGGAGGAGCAGCTTTTAACCATACGTCGAGATTTTACTGTTAAAAGTGTTTCTGTTCCACCGTAGGCCAGGCTAGTTATTGTCAGACAGAATATATGGGGAGAAAATACGCGTTTGAGACATTTATTTATTTATTTATTACAGCAACGTGGTAACTTTGTATATTCAGGCTTTTTTTTTACGACCACCTCCATTAAAAAAACTTTACGTTAATAACGCGCAGCCCTGCTCCTGATCAGTAGCTCTTTTTTAAATTAAAATGTTCGCTTGAAGAAGGAGAAATTGGGTTGACATTTTGTCTCAGAGCTCTACGTGAAGTGCTCCACTCCTGGCCCCAGGCTCCTCACTTTGAAGTGGTGGAGGGACAGGCCTCCGTATTCTGCACAATGTGAGCTCAGCCCCGGGTTAACAACAACAACAACAACAACAACAACAACAACAACAACAACAACAACAACAACAGTGGGATGGAGAAAACTACAAATAATACACATGAATTACCAAACATACATGTATTCATTTAGCTGAACAAAAAAAAGCATTGATGCTGGTGAACCTGAACTGGTCCTGTTAAAAAGCATGCTGTGCAGAAAAGGCCAACTTTTAATTTAACTTTAATTTACCACTTGTTTGGTGTAACAAGAAAGAAATACCAGTCATAAGAAAACAGTGTATAAATTGACAGTAAACATTTTAATCTTTAGTATTTCTTCAGTAACATAATAGAGACTGTCATGATCAGGTTGTTTTTTTCTTAATTTAGTAAATATAATTAGCAACTAGAGAATTGYGTTTCCTGCGAAAATGCTCAACTAAAACTTTAACTGAAAGCTGCTGAACTTAAGCTGAAAATATTCATTAGCAATACTGTTAATATGAGTTCAATTTGACAAGCTGAAAGAAGACAAAAAAGCTTAACTTTGCAAAACAATAGAAAAAAGGAGCAAAATTATATTTGAAATAGCAGAAAATAGCTAAAAGCTGAAAGCTAAAATCACTGTATAAGAAGCATAAATAGCTTAAATKATCAGAAAGAACCACAAAAAAGCAAAATTAGCAGAAGAATAGCTTAAAAGAACAGAAATATAGCTGAAACAGTAGAAAAAGGCTAAAATTAGCACAAAAAAAGTAGCTAAAATTGACACAAGAAATTTAAAAAGAGCCAAACCAGATGAAAATGGTTCTGTAAAGATTTAGAAACATTTTTGAAGGATTTTAGGGATGTTGAAGATAGCTCCATTCATTTTCAATGGCAAAAAAGTGGCTAAAAAGTGAAATAGCTAAAAAAAAAAAAGTATAAATAGCAGAAATACCAAAAGTCATAGCCGGAATGTCCCGAATAAGCTGAGCATTTTGATGTATGAATTGATGAAATAGCATCAAAATTGTTGAAAGAGAAAGGGGTCAAAAGACGTACAGAAGAAAAAAATGATCTCAGTGTTGTGATAATAAATGCCCTGTAGTATTTAACTGTAGTATTTAACTGTAGTATTTAACTTGAGTTTTATAGAAAGTGCTTAGTGGTAAGCTGCTCTGATTGTGGAGCTCACATTTTGTTGAGCTGCTTTTTAGGGTTATGAAGCAGTTACTGAATATTAGCATAAACTATTATGAAAATGCCTTCTAAAAAAGGCTACTTTATCGTCAAAGGAAAATGCTGTTATAAAACAAGATTTGACCAAAATGGCTTCAACTTTGTTACAACACTTATTTGTTATGGTTTGGTCAGTTTGCTAGGTTTACTGTTCTTATATTGAGGCATTCATTTTAATCTTTCAAAGAAGAGCTGCAGTTAAGTGGATTGGTTAATCGTTTAAGTGGAAACACGATGAGCCACATTTTACGTTTTGTCACTGAGAGAATAGCTCCAGGTCATATTAGATGCTCTGTTGCTGCAGGAGATTGAAAGGACTTATTGTTGGCTGAGAGRGAGCTTACAGCCTCTCTGAACAGCAGAAGGGGGACGAGGCTGCAGAGGAATTTCGAACATCATTCTCGGTTGGGGTCCAAGGCCAAATACTTGCTGGGTCATGACTCACCTCCTGCCACTTCTCCCAGCCCTGTGTGTGTGAAGCCTGCTCGGTTCAGTCCTTCCTGATTGAACTGTTTAAAACTTGGAGCGTGACGATATAAAAAAGCAAGTTTTAAATGCTTTATACTCGTAACATTTCCACACCCTTAAAAGAAAAAAAAAAAGCCAAAACAAACCGCATTACATATTTGTAAACACTTTATGACCTTTTCACTTTGACTGAACTCTCGGTCAAATAAAAGGACACGACCTAGCTTAAAATCCTGATGATGTTCTGCCCTTTTTTATTTCCTCYAACCTGCTGTTTGTTATTAGGCTGGCCACGTTGCTCACAGCTGGAGGAAGGAATTCCCTCAGCAGTGTGAGAGCATTTGGACGTGCTCTTCGTCTGAGTCAAATACTTTTATTGGATCTCTCCAATCAGTTGTGTCCAGGTGGCAGCCAGACGAAGCCTTACTTTAATTTCTGACGTGGCCCAGAGGACGGCTCGTTGGTGCAAGTCACACGCCGTCCGTCTGTTAGCCCGCTCTGCTGCTGTGTTTCATGTTTGTGTCAAGTCCCTATTCAGCTCCCTGTGAGATTCAGACAGGCTGATCTCACTTCATTTGTTGTTGAAATACAGGTTCAGAGAGTAGCACCGAACAAATTCAGTTTGGGGTTTTGTCAAACTGAAAACAATTAAAAAAGGCCAAGCGCTCCTTCAAAGAATGCACATCACTCGTCYCTTTTCAGTCCCCAGATAAAATGTTAAATCATCTCGTGGTGAGAAATGGAGTCATTTTGATCAAGCCATGTGATACTGTGAAGTCTGTGTGATGAGGGTGGCTGAAACTGTGACCAAACTAAATTTAGCTCAGTATTTATAAAAACAACCAAGGTCTAGCCATCATGAATCAGGCTGACTCCAAAAGTAAATGAGTCGTTAACGCACGCCCCATGATTACTTTCTGAAAGTTTGACTAAAATCAGTCAAGTGGTTATCAGATATTTTGCTAACAGTGTTAACCAACAGACAATGCAACAATTTTAAGCAAAGATGTTGTATAACCACACACAGGTTWATCATAATATCTGGAAAATTGACTGAGTTACAGCCTTTTTTGTTGTGACTAAAGCTAATGTGCTGTGGCAGCCATCTTGAAGTGGGTTGACTCCAAAATTTAAAGGGGCGGGTAATGTATTTTCTGGACACATAGTCTATCGAAACACCTTAAAATTTTATTTATTTATTTATTTATTTAGGATCCCCATTAGCCCTTGCCACAACAAGGGCTACTCTTCCTGGGGTCCTTAAAAATTGACCTGTGTCTTTAAGAACCTCCTACTGTTTCTGATGCTCCCACTTCAGCACATGTTCTTAACAACGCTTCAGGAAAGGGGAGCTCTGTGGGGCAGGAGCTCAGCTGGGGACTGAGCTCCAAGGAGGAGCTCGGTACAAATAAGTGGTTCTTTGTACCCACAAGTGTGTAGGCAGCTCCACATGGCCACAGGAGATTTGGGGATTTCTCAAATGCATGAACGAGTCAAAGCAACATTCTGGCTATGACATTATAACATGATAGTGATGTTTGTAGATGTGCATTCAGTGATTACTATAAAATTTAATTAAAATCCATCCAGTGGTTCATAGGGCTGTGTATTGGCAAGAATTTGGCGATACGATACATATCAGGACAGAGGGGTCACGATACGATATATCCCAAAATATTTCAATACTGTAAACAAGGCGATATATTGCGATATTTTTGTCCAAAAATTCTATTAAATAAAAACCTCTTACTGGAAAAAAAAGAAAATCCAAAATTCATTGTCTCAGAAAATTCTAATATTACATAGACATACTTTTGATACATTTAGCTGTGTTCTGCTTTGTATGTGTTTTATTTTATTTGTTTCATATTTCATCCATGTTTTCAATTATTAGACTAAATTTGCCAATAAATAGTTTGAAAATATATTTTTTGCAGATTTTAGTTTTTAATATTAATTTACAATATGGTCAACCAACACTTAACAATAGCCTTTATGTTGTCATAAAGTTCAGTAAACAGATGATATGAAGCTGCTGCACAGAGTTTCTGGGATCAGCTGACCTGCATCCAGAACCTGATTTATATAACTGTGGGTCAAACAGCAGGGCAGGTCCTGAAGAAAACCAGTTAACAGCAGGGCAGGTCCTGAAGAAAACCAGTTAACAGCAGGGCAGGTCCTGAAGAAAACCAGTTAAGAAATTGAGAAGCTAAACGAGGTAAACCATTTTTGAAGCGAACACAGCAGGATCAAGTACATGGACTTTGATGTGATCATCAGCTGGACATTAGCTATGTTTACATGCACAAATTTTTTTAATCGGATTGAAATGTATTCAGATTAAATAATCCAAATGTACTGTTTACATGGACACAATCCGATCATGAAAAGTGTTTACATGCACCGGAGTTTTATTCAGAATAAAAGTCTGGACATGCGCAGTGTTGTAAACGTTCAGCTCTACTTCCGTGTTACAAACGTAAACAACGCTCCTCTGTGCGCTCAGGACGGACCCTTGTCAGTTTTTAATAACAGTAGAGACGTCGTTACTCCTCGGTTGAGCTGCAGCCTGCAGATGAAGCAATATGTGCTTTTTATTTTTATTTTTTGCAAAGCAACGTCTGCTGTTTGCCTCCTTTTTCATCTGTTAAGAGAGCGAGGAGGAAAAGTTCTGTAAGGTGCGGCGCAGCTGGAACGCTACTGTCCCACTGGGTGGATGAAAGTCAGCAGACATGAGCACAGTTCAGTTTTCTACAATCAGAATAAGATGATCCGATTAAGTGTTTACATCAGAGGAGCCCAAAGTGGGGCCCGCGGGCCAAATTTGGCCCGCCAAGCCATTTGATTTGGCCCACCAACAGTTGCCAA